CGGTTCAAGCTGCCGCTTCCCCCGGGGGGGGTGTCCCCGCTCCCCAGCCCCGTTCCCACGCCGGGGGCCGTTTCCCCACCCTCCGTGTGGTCCCTTCATCCCCTTCACCGGCCCCAGGGTCGGCCCCGCTCCCCCCAGACTCTGAGGTTTTCCCTCTGAGGATGCTCCAGAGAAGAGGCTGCACCCCCGGGGGGGGCACCCCGGCTCCCCCCCCATGCCTTGGCTGACGGACACCTCCCGCTCCCTTTGTTTTCCTGGCTCTGAGAAGACAGAAAGCGATCGGGTGGCTCGTGATTAAGCTGACGGAGCTAATGAGCCAAGAAAATGAAGGTGTGGAATGGATGGGGAGGCAGTACTTGTGTTTTTGTGTTTTTTTTCGGTGGGGGAGGATGTAAGGTAAGTGGGAAATCACCCAGGGCAGGACTTGGACCGGCTCGGGGCTCTGCGGGTGCCCCACCACACGCAGCAGGAGAAACCCCCCAAAGCCACATCTGGGGGACGGGGGGTTATGGTTTGGGGGTGGATTAAAGACGCTGGATGAGGTGAATAGGAAGAAATTCAGCCCCGTTTCTCAGCAGACCGGGGTTTGTTTCTGGGTTTGGAGTGTTTTAACGCTTACCTGGGGATTTTTTCTGCTGGCAAATTATCCTAAAGGAGCCGGCGTGACTGTGGCAGGACACCTACGCACGTTCCCTGCTCCAGCCTGGCTGTGTGTGGGGAGGGAGAAGAAAAGCAGGAGAGATCAGTCAGCTCGTTTACAAAGACAAACCCCCGTCCCTCGTCCCTTCCACCTCGGAAGCCAAATTTCTGCGTTTAACTCCGACCAGGTTTGGTGGCTTTGCAGGACCCCCCGGGCTGGGGGTTCCCGGGCTGGAGTGGGGGAGCTCAGGGCTGAGGGAGGCTCCATCCACGGGGATGCACCAACACAAAAAAACCTTTTTGGAGAAGGAGGCTGAGTCCCGGGGGCTGCCCCGGGAGGTGTGTGCCCCCCCACCCCGAGCTCAGGCGATGGGCGCAGTGCTGAGTGCTGGGCCTGGGGGTTGCATAAATGGGATTATTTCTGCCTCGTAGCGGGAAGGAACACGTTTGATGAGGTTTCTGTCTATCAACTTCACCCCATAAACCCTCGATTTACCCTCCTCTAGGGCTGTTGACTGAAAACCTCGCAAATCCCATCAAACAGCTCCATCCTGAGCCGCGGGCGAAGCTGGTTTCGGAGCACCCCCCGCCCCACTCACCTCACAGACCTGCGATCAGCCGAGCAGGAGGCTCAGACCTGGCACTAGTTTTAGGAGCAGACCTCAAGGGGTCGGTCCTTTCGCTGCAGGACGATGCCCACCGGGGAGAGCACCCAAGGGCTGATGTGCCGAGCGCTCTCCTGCTCTTAAACCTGACTTAAAAGCAAGGCTTTGTTACTGCAGAACAGGAGCAAAGAGAAGTTTTGTGTTTCCACAAGTTGTTATTTCACAGCTTGGGTTGTCTGACAAATTTCCTTTTCAATAAATAACCTTTAACCTTAGGAGTGGAATTCCTTATTCCAATACTCGTTATTAAGGCAATTATTAAGGCTTTTGCTAAGCAATAACTCAACATTCCCCCCTGAATCGCCTGGAGGGAGAGGGCTTGGCTGGTTCCATCATCCACCCACCGCTCCCTGCCCTGAACCAAACTGCCCCGTTTGTTCCACTCTGGGATGGCCTAAAACACATCGGCTGCCCTTTCCCCATCAAAGTCCAGAGAGGGGAGTGGGGGACTGACATGAAAAACAGCTTTTTAAGATTTCATTTGTATTTAAAAGGTTTTTTTTAAATGTCTCTCCTGGGTTCACCTCAAACCTAGTGTGGCTGTAACGACGAGGGGCTCCCTCGCTCATCATTTATTTTAACAGCAAAGAAGGTATTTAAAGAGCCAAACTCCCTCTTCTTTGTCTTCATCACAACCTAAACTTTTTTTCCCCTGGCCAAGGAGAGCACGCGAAGGCGCAGGACGCGATGGAGCAGCCCCCACCTTCTCACACAAGGTGGGACCCCGGCGGCGGCGGGGCTGGGGGGAGCGTGGAGGAGCTGATGCAATCCTGCCCGGCTGTTACACGCCGCCGCATCGCGCTACCGCTTCTGGGAGAGGGCCAAGGATTTGTGAGATCAAAACGAACCTGGAAGCCTCTCTGCTCCTCAGGGGAAGCCCTCGGGTGGGTCGAGCCACAGGGCAGCCCCGACAAACAGAGGGAAGGCTCGTCTGAAGCTGATGAGAAATGGGAATAATAAAGGTTGGGGACAGAATTTCAGGGTGGAGTGGGCTTAACGCTTCAGGTGCCAGCAAGATCTAAATTAGCCCCGGCAATTAGCAAAATAGAATTACCTCTGTCACCTTTGAGATGCTAACCGGGGGTACAGGACCTCTCTCCAACATTACCTGCTGCCCCCCGGAGCCTACCAGGTTCAGATACTGCCATCTTCTAGCACTTTAATCCACAATAGCTTGATGATTTCGGTACCAAAATAGCCCAGAGTTAATAGCTTGCACTTCAGCAGTTTCGCATAAAAAGGCTTCCTCAGTAAGAGCCTCCAGCAGCACAGCAATTAAACGGCTTTGAGAAAAATGAAATAGCTTGAATGAAACTGGTTCCTGAACTTGTGTATTCAGAAACTGAGAGATTTTTCCAATTCTAGAAGGTCAGAAGCAGCTTGTAAAGGGCCCACAAAAATCACATCCCCACACCTGGTGAGGGTCAAACATTTCAACATCTGTGAAAACAGAGGAGGGGCACCCTGGGGAGCGGGGAGGGGGCTGGGGGGTACCCGGCTCTGCCAGCCCCACGCTGCTCTCGGCGCGGGTCTGCTCGTAAAACGAGGCTTCCTCGCCGTGCCCTCCTCCTCCTCACCGCTCTGCCCCGCAGACCCTGGGCTCTTGCAGTTCCAAAACAGGTTTTTACGACGCCAAAAGGAGTCCTTCCTGCTCTCACCCAGAACCAGCCGCTTTTCACCCTCTGTGATTTCAGGCGTTTCCAGCAGGAACTCGCCAGCGCACGGCCAGACCATGACCATCACCTCTTCGAACCTTCATCTTCCCGCTGCTCCGCAGGGGCTCAACCCACGACCAGACCTGGCCCTTGGAGTGTTTCTGGCAGGATGGGGCTGGGTGAGGAGCTTTCCAGCTTTGCCTGGTGATGAGCAGAGTCACAGATGGGACACCCAGGGCTCCATCCAGCACGTGCACGAATCCTGAGTTACTGTTGTGGTCTTGCCCCCGACAACACACACACTGCACGTGGAAACCTGAGCTGAAATTAAACCCTGTGGTTTTTCCCCTTTCTTCAAGCTGGGCTTTGCTTTAGAGCAGAGACAGCGTCCTCCTCTCCTTCCTCCTCCCCAACCAGCGACCCCGGAGCGCGGGCTGTCAGCAAAGCCACGTTTGCTGCAGGGCACCGGGAGCTGAAAGACAACGGGCACGGCCTCGGGGAACCCCAGTGCCAGGAGAGACCCGGCTGCGAGGGCACTTGCTGCTTCCCCGGCTGCTGAGCAACCTCCAACTACTCTTTTTATCCAGAATCCAGATCAAAAATATTCCGGCAACGTTTAAATTTGCAATCTACATGTTCCCTTTCTCCTCCCCGAGGGGAGCGATCCACCGGCTTCTGGAGTCATCCTGGAGTATTGGAACAAATGTAGGAGGAATGTGTTAACGTATTTCAGGAGGAACGTGGGGTTCAAGTTCTAGTTTTGGAATTGTGGAGCGACCACGAGGGCAGGTCCCAGCCCGCTCCGCGGTGTGAGGCAGGACGCAGGCAGCTTGTTTCATCTTTTCCAGCTCGTTGATTTGGGAAAAGAAGTTCTTACCCGAGGACACACACGAGGGGTAAAACCCAGCGGGTCACCGAGGCGAGAAGGGCTGGAGAGGCGCTTGTGTCCCGTTTCCTCCTGCAGAACACGCGTGGCCCTGTCTGATGGCACCTGTGAGGACGTTTAATCTGGTTGTGGCTTTTAATTTCAATCCATGAAACTCCACAGACTTTGTCTTCTCCTTCCTTTCCTGTTCTCCCATCAACCTGTTTTTTTTTTTTGGGGGGGGGGGGGAAGAACCTGTGCCCACATCTTGAGCAGCCTCACCGACACGTGAGCGGTGCGAAACGAGCTGCTTCTCAGATCTACTCGGAATAAGAGGCAGACACGACACTTTGTCCATTTATTTATTGTCATTCAAATACTAAAAATCCCTCACAATACAATATACAGTTATTGATCTCAGATTCTTCCCCCATTGAGACTATCAGGTTTTAGTGGGATTTTTTTTTTTTTTTTAAGTTTTTGTTTTATTATCAAAGATTTAGAGTCACAATAAATAAGAGTGACAAAAAACATACCCTGCGCTGGCGTAACGTTACTCTGTTACACTCCTCTGTTAGATGATTATAAATTCTTTTTTTCTTCTTCTTCTTCTATTAAAAAAAAAAAAAGCACAATGCAAGTTATTTCGCTAAATGCAACGTACGGCGTAACTCTGCCTTAAGCAGACAAACACTACTGTGGTTCCTTGAGGTCTTTTTGTGTTGTTATATATATTTATATATTTAGTATTAAAAAAAAAAAAAATGCCTTCTGTGCCCCCTCCTTCCAAAAGGAGAAAGTGAGAAATGAGCCAAAACAGGGTTTCTGATGAGACCTAAGCCTGCTCTGCTCTACTCACTTCTGCAGCCCAAGGCCCCCATTTTCCATTCTGAGCTGTATTTTGGTACATTTTCTTCCTCCCCACCCCCCCCCCCCCC